CTAGGAGAATAGTGAAGTCCATACACCATTATTGAAATAACGACACAGAGGAATGATACTGAGGGTTATGTTCTGATTGATTTTGTCCAGATGATGAATAATAGTGTCATTAAAGAGCTTTAGCATTTAAAGTAGCGGATGACAAAACTGCAGAGTGCACTTACTATAGATTATCGCCCAGTTATTGTTATAGTTAATGTTTTTGCTGTGAACTGGCCTTTAGTAGTAGTGGGTTTGCTAAAGTACATATTGCTTCTATGAAAGGTCCTTTCCAATACAGCTTCAAATGTCTCTGTGAGCATTAATTTAAAATATTGAATAAAATGAGGGAGGGCTGGTACACCTTAAATCAGCCATTCAGCACTTTGTCAGAATGCACAAATACAATTACATGTAATCACATCCAAATCCCTCTCTTCCTTTCATCGCTTCCCCCTCTCTCTCCTCTCATTCCATCACTCTGTGGTCCCCAGCTGCTTGTCTCTCCATCACGGACTCGGCCGCAAATTAACAGCCCGCGTGTTCTGTTACGACGCCGCTGATATAATTACGCCTGCACGCCTGTCAGAGAGATAGATGGAGGAGAGGGAGAGGGAGAGAGGGGTGTAGTGAGGGGATGGAGGGTCAGACCAGTGTGACAGGAATATAAAGAACCGAGGATATACCTTTCACGGCCTTCCTTTTTTTTCTGATATCAGTTTCTCTTTATTTAAAGTCAGGATGTTCCACTGATCCATTGACCCAAGAAAAAATAAATAAAAATCAAACACTTAAAAGTTCAATGTGTAATATTTCTGAAGATCTAATGATAGAAATGCAATATGAGATCCATAACTGTGTTCAGTGGTGTATAAAGACCTTACTCAATGAACCTTAATGTATTTATTACCTTAGAATGAGACATTTATATCTACAGAACTGTGGACACCCCTTTCAGGTCGACATATTGTGACGTCATGTTTCTATTATAGCCGAACGTGAACAAACGGCGCTACAGAGCGTGTTTCGTCTCTACATTTAAAGAGAAGCCACAGAAACCTAGTAGCTAGCCATACACACAGTGAGTAGTGACTTTTCCCTTGTCAGTGGTGTAAAATATGTAGTTGGATTTCTTCATGTAACTTAGTGCTTCTCCCTCGCTGTGTTATTGCTTTGCTATGTGGGGATAAATGTGCTGGTTATGTTCGTGAGACAGCTGATTAGTACTCTTGTCATTGACCGGAAACCAGTATGTTACAGGAATCACCAACCCTTCGATCGTGAAGAGTTTTCAAAATCAGAGAAAAAAAGCCTATTGTGTGTAGTAACCTGTGTCTAGGCAATGCAGAGACACCTTTGGGTTCATGCGGACGGACGCGTCGAGTGTATATATATATATATATATATATATATATATATATATATATATATATATATATACAGTATATATATACACTCACCTAAAGGATTATTAGGAACACCTGTTCAATTTCTCATTAATGCAATTATCTAAATAACTAATCACATAGCAGTTTCTTCAGTGCATTTAGGGGTGTGGTCCTGGTCAAGACAATCTCCTGAACTCCAAACTGAAAGTCAGAATGGGAAAGAAAAGTGATTTAAGCAATTTTGAGCGTGGCATGGTTGTTGGTGCCAGACGGGCCGGTCTGAGTATTTCACAATCTGCTCAGTCACTGGGATTTTCACACACAACCATTTCTAGGGTTTACAAATAATGGTGTGAAAAGGGAAAAACATCCAGTATGCGGCAGTCCTGTGGGTGAAAATGCCTTGTTGATGCTAGAGGTCAGAGGAGAATGGGCCGACTGTTTCAAGCTGATAGAAGAGCAACTTTGACTAAAATAACCACTCGTTACAACCGAGGTATGCAGCAAAGCATTTGTGAAGCCACAACACACACAACCTTGAGGCGGATGGGCTACAACAGTTGAAGACCCCACCGGGTACCACTCATCTCCTCTCTAAATAGGAAAAAGAGGCTACAATTTGCAAGAGCTCACCAAAATTTGACAGTTGAAGACTGGAAAAATGTTGCGTGGTCTGATGAGTCTTAATTTCTGTTGAGACATTCAGATGATAGAGTCAGAATTTGGCGTAAATAGAATGAGATCATGGATCTATCATGCCTTGTTACCACTGTGAAGGCTGGTGGTGGTGGTGTAATGGTGAGGTGGATGTTCTCTTGGCACACTTTAGGCCCCTTAGTGCCAACTGGGCATTGTTTAAATGCCATGACCTACCTGAGCATTGTTTCTGACCATGTCCATCCCTTTATGGCCACCATGTACCCATCCTCTGATGGCTACTTCCAGCAGGATAATGCACCATGTCACAAAGCTCGAATCATTTCAAACTGGTTTCTTGAACATGCCAATGAGTTCACTGGACTAAAATGGCCCCCACACTCACCAGATCTCAACCCAATAGAGCATCTTTGGGATGTGGTGGAACGGGAGCTTCGTGCCCTGGATGTGTATCCCACAAATCTCCATTAACTGCAAGATGTTATCCTATCAATATGGGCCAACATTTCTAAAGAATGCTTTCAGCACCTTGTTGAATCAATTCCACATAGAATTAAGGCAGTTCTGAAGGCTAAAGGAGGTCAAATACAGTATTAGTATGGCGTTCATAATAATCCTTTAGGTGAGTGTGTATGTATAAATAAAGGCATAACAATAGTTTTGATTACATACAGTATATGTGTCTCACTTGTACATTTTCATATTAATTCATTTTTTTAATCAAAACTATTGTTATGCCTTTATAGTAAAGAATGAACAAATATGCAAGGACAGTACGATTTCTGCTGCGGACTGTCATGTTATGAATCAGACTTTAAAAACCTGCATTCGGAGCGACAGGGAGTGAAGGCTCACCTGGATCAGTGGTAACATACTTTGGAAAGGCTATTAAATAAAAATATGAAAGGTGAGAAAAGTGTCCATTGAAGCGTGAAGAGAGATAATGAATGTGGGATCCTCACAGTGCAGGGGAATGTGAATGTGATGGGATTTAGAATCCAGGAACATTCATTTCAACAAGAAAAGACAGCTGGAAAAACTTAATGGTCAATGATCTGCTTAATATGGAGGTTTTGAAATTCTTCATCAAGTCTGTGTGCACTATCCTTTATATAACATTTGTTGGGCCATTTCAAAATTATGATTAATGTGAACTTAATCAGATGTAGGGCACAAAGAGGTCTTATTTAGCACACTGCTCTGTATTTCATCATGAAAGTATTTGTAGAGATAATCCCATTGGTGCAATGTAGGGAAGATCTCTGAACACACACACATAAGATGTAGGAATAGAAATTGTATAGGATTTAGGAAGATTAATTTTGACCTTGTTAGGGCTCATCGTTATTAATTGTGTGTGCGTGTGTGTGTGTACAGGTTTAATATACTTTGTAAAATCTTTGTAAAAAAAAAAAGGATAGTAAAATCTGAGATCACCTCTACATTTGAATTTACTTCACGGCCGTTAAAAAGTACGCTCTATAGTATAAATATGGGTAGTGTGAATGAAATTCAGACGTACAGTATACGTTCGCCATGTTGTTACTGTCACGTCACATGTCAGTTGTGTCGGTTTACTGTCATTCATAAATGTGTGATTTATTGATGTGTGACTGGGTTATTGTGAGCTGATGATATCACTGGGTTACATAACAATTGACTTTCTCTAAGAACATTTTTGCATGCGAGTAAGTGTGTGTGTGTGTGTGTGTGTGTGTGTGTGTGTGTGTGTGAGAGTGAGAGAGAGAGAGAGAGAGAGATATAGAGAGAGAGAGAGATAGATATGTGTATATAGATGTGTTTCAAAGTGTCTGGTGAATTTGTGTGGGGAATAAATAACTTTAGCTAAATAATGAAGGATTCTGGTAAATGAGTTCTCATTTATTTCATTGTTTTTTTTTATTAATCAATTATTTAATTTTTAATTTTATTTATTTTATTTATTTATTTATTTATTGCAAAAAGACTATATCCAATTTTTTGGAGCTTGCACCCCAATATTATATATAGAGAAAAAGTGTATGTACCTCTATGCTACTGCTATAATTGATTTGTGACACTGAATTCTTAATAGTGCCTCATCTAATCAGATTTATAATGCATTACTGTTTTGAGATGTTTTGGCTTTTAATTCTATTAGTTCTTTTAATTTTAGTATAATTGAGATATTATAGTTTTTATTAATATTAGCTTCTATTTTTCTGATTGCATTTTAGTTCAAGTTTTAGTCATTTTTCATGTTTGTTTGTTTTTTCATTTTTAATACTGTATCATTTGTTATTTTAGTGCATTAGGTTAAACTGAATCAAAATGAGAGGTGTTGTCTTGGCAACTAGTTGAAATAGTTTTTTTTAACTGAAGAACTTGAGAGAAAAAAATGGTCTGAAATTGCTTGTAAATTTCACAAATAATTACTAAGTAACATTGAATTAAACATTTACATTTTCGTAAAAGAAGAAATGATGTTTTCTTGTAAAACATACTCAATTAGTCCTACAGTTTCATTTAATTTGGTTAATTTGTTATAAATAACATTATATTTTGGGTGCATCCATAAAATCCCCCCAAATACGGAAATAATCAAATGAGATGAAGTGCCTTAAAATAAATAGCTTGATTATGTCATTTACTTGACTTATTATAATGAGTACATGGTTATGTGATTTATTGCAATTAAATCTAAATGTATCCATTAATGGACAACACACATAAATATAATTTAACATAGATTAATTTGATAGATACTGTAATATATATATATATATATATATATATATATATATATATTTTATGTAAAATATTGTTCATATTATACTGTCTGTCCTAACTGAACTAAGGCCAGATCCTGGCTTAGTCTAAACCCTGTCTGTGAAACCAGACCAATGTTGTTGTTTTTTTCATTTTTATTTAGAGTGTGGCCCTTGAGCTTTCCAAAGTTGAATCGCTGCTCCAATGTTTTTGTGTGTGTGCTTCCAGATTATTTCTTGGAGCTGTTGAATCGTTCTGAAGCATCACTCCAGACTTCTTTCCAGAGTGGATTTGGACCTCTCTTCTCTCAAATCACAAAGGTGTTTCAGGATCTGTACTCAGACCTCCGGCGCTACTATCGAGGGAGCAACCTCAATCTCGAGGAGGCTCTGAATGAATTCTGGGCCCGTCTGCTGGAAAGACTCTTTAAAGCCTTAAACCCTCAGTACAGTATTGGAGAGGAGTATCTGGAGTGTGTAGCCAAGCAGTCAGAAACGCTGAAGCCCTTTGGAGACACTCCCAGAGAGATGAAGACCAAAGTCACACGCACGGTTATTGCAGCCAGAACATTCGCGCAGGGTCTGGTGATCAGCGGCGAAGCCGTCCGGAAAGTTTCACAGGTAACTTTCTCTGAACTCTCATGATCAATAATTATCAGAAAAAGTTAAACTTTTGCATTTGGTTGGCAATAAACGTGTCATTTAAATAATGGGCGTGGCAAAATAAATTCAAAAGCCTATAAATCATAAACAAAAACTCAGAACTTCACGATAATTGGTGAGCATATGTGCCATAACATCATTAACAGGCCTGCAAAGTTATATGGAGATCGGACAATAGGTGGCGCTATAACTGTTAAAAATCTTAAATATATATATATATTCCCTATGGTAAATTGCCAGTAATGGTCTTACTAAATAAAATTAATGTCTTTGGCTGCTTTTGTGCTTAAAGGCCTTAAGTGCTTGAACCCCGATGAATGCTGCTTGCAGCTTTAATTTTTAAATGTAATTTATTCCTGTGATGCAATTCTGAATTTTTAGCATCATTACTCCAGTCTTCAGTGTCACATGATCCTTCAGAAATCATTTTAATATGCTAATGTGATCCCTTTAGCTACACTCCCGTTCAAAATTGAAATGATTACACGTTTTATTTTATTTATTTAGCCTCACATAAATGCGGTTATTCTTCTCTGGAACACAAAATTAAAAATTACAGAAGAATCACCACCCATCTCTTGCAATAAAACAAGCTTATAGTGAATGTCGACACTAAACGTACCATAAAAGTATCATAAAAGGGATCCACTTGTGCACTATATTAACAGCATGCAGGTTTGAAACAGTGGTTGAGTAAAAAATGTAACATTTTGCTGTGAACTATTCTTTAAAACATCAAATATGTTGGGGCTTGCTCTGATTTCTTCACTTTATGCTGTATTTCAAATTTCACAAAGGACACAAATTTGTTGTTTTGCACCTAGTTATAGATTTCAGAAAGATTTCCTTCTCAGTATTTATTGTATTCATATTTTATACCTGTGGCAATGAACAAACCCAATACCACCTAGAACCGAGACACACAGACACAAACACACGTTGAGGCATTGTGGGAAACCACGTAGGATCAATGCATCAGGAAAACAAGGCAAAATGAATATCCCTGAGGCCGTGGCAATGAGTGTACATATAAACACACCCACACACACAGACACACTGCAACAAAAGTATTGCATCTGACCAATTAATGCTGATATTCAGCCTTTGCAGGTTCATCCAAACTGTACTTTGTTTCGTGTAAAGACCATTTATTGTTGTTTGAAATCCTTGGAGGCAAAACCCCATTTCTTTACCCAATAAAAGTGTCTGTATATTCTGACATGTTAAAGTCAAAAATGTAAATTAAACCTAAAATGTACCGCAGACATAGCATATGGCCATACTATTGCAATATATTTCATTGCAGGGAGACAGTGTAGTGATTCTCATTCTCATTCATTGATTCTTCTCACCAAGTGAAGAGGAAACGGCAAGCTACTTTTATTTATAAAGTAGTTCAACAACAGTTGGTGTTGATTTCATTTTTTAAAACTATATCAGCTATATAAAGCCTTCTTATTCTGTCAAGCCTTGAAACTTCTATTAGTAAGAAATACTTCACCCAAAAATAAAACAAATCATTATTTACTCACTCTCGTGTGGTTCCGAACCCGAGGCGTTCCAAACCGTGCTGAACCATGCATGGTTTCCACACTAGGAAGAGATTCAGTTTCACATATAGGGTTAAAAACATGTTACATTATCACTGATAAAGGATAGAAAGATCTTTGATTTCTTTTTATTGCTGTTGTCCACTTTGGTTTATCTGTTGTTTACTTCTCATTCTTTTCCTCTGCCTTTCTTCTCCTCTTCTCAATTCTCTTCTCTCCTGAAATCTAAATGAGTAGTGAAGGGAACCTAACTCTGTGTCTGACCTCTTCAAAGTAAGTCAAGGTTGACAACACAGAGAAACTGCCAGCACTGCATATTGAAAAGGGCAGTATGTGTGCGTGTGTGTGTGTGTGTGTGTGTGTGTGTGTGTGTGTGTGTGTGTGTGTAAGGTGGGGAAATGATTGGTGTGGCAGTTCAGTTCCAGTCTGTTTTGTCTGACCAAGAGATGTTTTTAACCCCAGTATGTAAGAGGGAAACTACACAGAGAAGAAACTCCCAGAATGCACTGCACATAACACACATATTCAATTGCATTTTGCACGGTGACTAATATATTAGCCATAATGCACTAGTGTCAATCCCATTGGCTGGCGCTTACAAAGTCACACTTCACGTTTTGACTGCAGCAAATCAGTTCCAACAACTTGATCAATATTCATGAGCCCAGCAGCCTGTCAGACATTAGCATGCTTTATTTTGTTCTAATTACTAAAGTTAAAGAGCACCTATCATGGATTTTTGAAAATGACTGTTCATGTAGTGTGGAATATAGCTCTAAGGGAATGAAAACATCCTGCAAAGATTTATATCTAAAAGTGCACCGTAAGTTATTGTCTTTCAAAAGTGAGAGTCGACTCTGAGTCTATGAAATGAATTGTTTTTGAAACGAGTCATTAGCTGTTACATCGTAACGTAGAGAGGTCATTGGCCGCTCCCAACAACTGCGCACGCAGACTTGAAGTGACGTCTAGAACACATTAAAATAGTTCAGCTGAATAGCGTCATGTCGAGAATACGCTGTGTTCTACATTGCAAAGACAGTTCAGCCACTTGTTTCCATTGTCCAAGGACGAGCATGTGAAGAATCAGTGGTCAGAGTTCATATTAGCAACGATACCACAACAGTATAGCCCGAACCTTGTGTTCACATCATTTTAATGACGAATCATTCAAAAACATGAATGAATTCAAATGTGTATTCGCAAGCCGGTTGTTCCTGAAGGAGGGCTCAGTATCCAGTGTTTATGGATCAGGTTCGTCCTCCTCCGAATCACAATCTGTGAGTAATATTAATAATGTTTGCTGTTATGTTTTCTGTAGCATGCACAATATAGTTTTGTGTTGTGTGTGTTGTGTACACTCCGTACAGCTTCTAAGCGGGGTAAAGTTAGTTTTGTTTTTGATATTCACCAGACATTCATTGAAAAATGGCAATTTCCTCCTAAACGACTTAGTCAAATATGACTTCGCTCTATATAATAAGCACTGTCCCTCAAAAGCCCCCGCAATGTGAGTATCGCCGGGAAAGCTTGCACTTGACGGAGATGCGAGTAAGGGACCGTGTGGAAAGTGCACTTTTTCTGACACGTTTGTTCAAACACTATATACAATTTTCAACACTTGACAAGCTATAATCCTGATTATCAGCCCATTCTCACCCACTTAACTGACGCCTTGGGAAGCATTTGGACATGCTTCAATATCTGACGCTTTAGGCGCCCTTTAGCGTCAGTTAGATGACGCCCTAGGATCGCGTGTACCCTACCCCCACCCCACACCTAAACCTAACCGCGTCCTCTAACTGACGCTTTCCTTTAGCGTCAGTTAGATGACGCCGTAGGATCGCGTCATGTAAGTGACGCTAAAGGGCGCCTAAAACGTCAAATATTAAAGCATGGTCAAAGGTGACGCCTTGGGCTGAGAATGCGTTGTAATTATGGGTGTTCCGTTTCCGATAATCTCTGCCTATGGTTTACCAATAACAACTGACTGGGTCATTTGACCAATCGCCGCAGATTCGCGTCACTCAAAGGAGGTGTTTGGGAAATTGAATCGTCGAACGAATCATTTGGGAGTTGTTGAGCAAATCAGTTAAAAATAAATGCATATTATAAGACAAATAAAGTGTTTTTTTATCCTTGCATGCACGTTAAACTGTTTTTGGGAACTCCTAATACAAAGATAAGAACATTTCAAATGCTATGATAGGGTCTCTTTAATAGTAATAATAATGTTTGACTGGCTGATGTTTCATTAAAAGTTGAGTTCTTTCAAATTATATCACATATGTTAGTAAAAAAAAAATAAAACTGTGTGAAGAGAGGCTGATTGGGATGGGAATTATTTAAAAAAAGTACCTAATATTTGTATGCGCCAATTATTTTAGTTTCTTATCTAGTTAGCTTAACAACATGCAAATGTCAAACTTGGGCTTCCACTATTTCTGTGAGATGCAGTGTTGCTGCCTGTGTATTCCCAAAATCTAGGCAGTTGCCTATGCAGGGAGCATACAGCATAAACAAACGAAAGGTTTTGGAATAAAACTATTTTGTGTGTATGCGCCAAAGGGAGTTGAGCGTCCTACTTTTGCTGTGTTCTTTTCTTCTGAGAGTTTGGTTAAACAAACTGTCTTATCTTTTGCTCTCAGTGTATCTTATACAACTCAATCTGGAAGTGATGGTTTTGCAATAAAACTAGCGTCCCTGTTTCTTTTATATTAGAAAGTTTATTTCAATTAGTGCCCCCTTTCCCTTACGCCTCCATGCCATTTCTGTTAAATAGTGCGTCATTCTATTCTGTTATACTCATTTATAATATCGTTCATTATGTGCGGCAATTCTCTTAATGGATTGTTCTGGCTTCAGTAAAAGTTAAGCTTGATCAACAGCATTTGTGGCATAATGTCTATTACCACAGAAATGAATTTAGACTCATCCCTCAGTTTTTCTTTTAAACAATAATCTGTTATAATGACATACTTACAATGAAAGTAAACCAGGCCAACATTCCAAAGGGTTTAAACGAAGAACTGTGAAGCCCATAAATTATTCAGTAAAACCCTTATTAATTCATTTGTAAAGTCATCTACTTTGGACTACTTATATTAGGTTGATTAATGTTTGGTTATTGACATTATTTCTAGTTGGAGTTTGCTTCAAAGATATACATGAACTTTGATAGGACTGGAAACTTGATTTCTTTTTCGTGTTCGATTTCTTTGTGTGTGTGTGTGTATTTATTTGTATTTTTTTTGTATTTATTAAATATTACTATTTAGGTTTGATTTATATATATATATATATATATATATATATATGAAGAGTTCAGATGCAAAAGCCTCTAAATGCCATTTGAAATTTTCTTCTAAAATGACCATTTTTATCAAGCTTGTATATTTAAGTTCAGTA